CAATTTTGAATATCTATAATAAAAGTAAAGATGAAGTTTTAAGATTATTAATATCAAAATTACCTCGTATGGATCGTTTATCCTGTCAATACATCAAGAAAGATGGTTCGATTTGTAGAAAAGGATGCTGGCGTGCTTCAGGATGTGCCATACATTATAAATTTCATTCTAAAATAATATGCCCTGTCTGTGATGAGAAAACCTATTCCAATACTGGAATCTGTAGCACACATGGTGGAATTTATAAGAATGCCTATCGTGAAGGTAAAAAAAATAAAATGGAATCAGATATAGGTCAAGACACCTAGCCGAAATGCTGAATAATAGGCTGAAATACTATTTTTCCTGCCCTATAGAATCAAAGAGTTCCTGAATCTCGTTATCTGTTTTTAGCTTATATGGTGGAAGTTCTAGAGCACCTTTATCTCCAAAACCAGTACCGTTATATGGCTGGCGATTAATTTGATATGAATATTGCCAAACTTGTTGTCCTTTAGGCCCTATTCTTTTTTTATCACTTTTAACAGTATATCCGCACCAATTACCAGCAATTGCATTAATTGCTTTTATAGTTGATTTAAGATCTGGTGTTTCTTTTGTGTGAGATTTAAATCCAAAGAACAATAAGGATTGATTTTGGATTTTCATAAATCTTTCATACGATTGAGCAAACGCTTCTAAAATAATATTATCTGAAAGAGTACGTATATCATCAATACCAGTGAAGCCTAGTATTTGAAAAAGTTCCTGTATTGCCTTCCACTGTTTAAACAAATATGCCTTTCGTAAATCAATTGAAGATGGATCTGAGAAATTATGCGATTACTCTCACTGTATAGTTTCTTTAGTTTTTAACCCTTCTAAAACTTTTATTGCATCTGAACCTTATCTTCGAAAATATGCCAGTCTTCTAAAGTGTCGTAAAGGTTCAGGATTATTAAATTTTTTTACAAAACTGATATTACATAGATTAATCCATTTGGCATTATCCATGCCTGTCCTAATTATCATCCTTATCTCCAATATCTTCTAAAACATATATTCTCCATAAATAGTGTCATTATAATATCATATTATCAGTGAATGAACGGATAGGAATTTGTTTAAAAACTTCAGCATCATCCGGGATGATATCAGGTGCATTGACTATTAATTTTGCATCAGAGCCTTTGATATTTTCTTCACTCGCCTTAATAATGTTAGAAATCATTTTCCTATCGGCTATAATACCTTCTGTAGAAATAATTTCAAGTGAAGCTCTCATACTAAAAATAAGACCGCAAAGAATTTCAGGAAAGTACTTTGCTGATAAGCATCTCTAATATTCAGCCTCAATATATATTTCGATTGCTGGAGATACATCAAAAGCATAACAATCAGCAATTTTATTCTATTCCCGATGCTCTTTTATTGCTGTTGGTAAATCAATAGATCTTAAAGCAGAAAGTTCAGCACGAATAAGATTACAATTTAGCTCTTGAAATATTTCAGAGGACTTTTGACTATTATATAAAGAAATTATACATTGTGGACAATTCTGAATTTGATAAAGCATCTGTGCAAAAGCTTCGATATGTACTCCTGTTTTAATATTGCTAATTCCTATAATAGCGTCAAAATGATTAGGAATTTCAAAGGAGATGCCAGCTTTTATAGTACTTGTGTAAATCACGCAGTCAAGAGAACTCCAGGTAGCATTAATATTAGTGAAATCCTCTTGTCATTACATTCCATCTATTTAGCCAAAATAAATATGAGTTAAAATAGGTGAACTATCCAGTTTTTGCAATGCAGAAACTTAGTTTGCTAAAGCTTGAACTTTTTTACATAATGTCATTGCAAAAGCAACACGCTTACCTTCTCGGAGCATCTTAAGACCTCTTCTCATAGCCGTTGAACCTTTGTCTGGATCATAAAGAATCTTAACAGTTTTGCCTATATGTGGTTGATATTTATTATCGAAAATTCATATATCATTACCTCAATATTATTTTAAGAAAACTATAGTAGAGTCATTCGCAAAAGCATCTATAGCCACAACATAAATAGCTGACTTTAGAAAATCTCGCATAGCATTTTCAGATTTTCACGCATGAACACCACTAGACATTTAGCATATAACTGCATTGATTTCATATAAAATAACTACATATGGATGCCTTTCATGAAGCTCAATACGATGTGTACTTTTAACTTAGATGATAATAACATCCCAATCACTTATAGCTAAACTACCCTCAACTTCTTGATATTGGCATACGTGAAGTCTTAAATTCTATAATATTTCAATTTTAGCTTTAATCTTATTGATAAGAGTTTTGCAATATGAAACCCAGATAAAACAAGGCAAATTTTCTCTATTTCCAGCTAAAGAGTTGAGAATTCCCTTTAAAGCTTTTTGTTTTACCAATACCTACAGATGAATAGATAAGAGTTGTATTACATATAGAACTTAAGAAGTCTGAATAAGCTTCTGGAGCCTTTTCCATCTCTTTTACATTAATATTTTTTCCAGACAATTCAGAGAGCAAACGTAGATTTTTTACAACATTAATTAACTTGTCATTCAATCCCCATTTAGGGTTTGATTATACCTAATGCCTCTTTAAATGCTAGTCCTTTATGATCTGGCTTATATTGATTTTGCCAATAACATTTAAGTACAAAATGGCTGTTATTTCGAAGAAAGCCATATAATTGATTTCTTTTATGTTTGATTTCACAAATAGGACATGCTTTATATGACTTTGCTTAGAAGTTGACAAATCCCTTTCTAATATGACCAATTACAAGCCACTCATATTTTGCTATAACTAAATCAGCTCCCTTGCTTAAGGTGGTTTTATCTTCGATAGGTTGGAATTCATCCTTTTCTGACTTTTCAGAAGAAAAGGTCTGTAGCCAGATTTTGGAATAATCAGATTTAGGTTGAACTAAATAATCTTCTAGCTTGCAATATCCTTGTTTAACTGAAGAAACTGCAGGTCTTTTAACTCTATCTTCCTTTGCCGATCCAAGAAGCTGAAGACTAAAACGTGATTTATAAAGTCTAAGGTCAATAAATTCAGAGTATAGTTTCCCAACTCTATCAGTAACTTTTTTCACAAATCCTCTAAGGTCTCTGTAGTCAATGAACTGTGCATATTTATATACAATATACCAACTGTATTTATTAGTATTAGATGAACTGGCTAAGGCAAAAGCATCTAATATTGCAAGATGGTTTAAATCAGAATATAAAATATCAACACAGGCAATTAAGATTCTGGATAATAAATTTTCACAAGTAATTTTATATTTATCTAAAAAAGGAAGCTCAAGGTTCATTGGATCTGACTTTTGCCTCGCATCAATATCCAAAACTAGGCGAAAAGGCAGATTTCCATCAATGCATTCGTGAGCATCAGAGATTCCATAAAATTCAGATGAATGATTGACTACTGTAAAACCTTTTTCAGATACTTGAATAATATATTTATTAAAAATTTAGGATGATAAGCTTCTAGAAGAGAAATATCATTTTTATTATTAGAAAAATATTGAAATTATATATGATTATTGTAACCAGGCTCATAATCGAGATCGGCTAAACTAGAGAAGAGCCTAGTTGCATCATTTATTGTTTTAGGGTGAGGCTCAGAATTTTTTTGCGCAAGTAATATAATACAATATATAGAAATACTAAGTATAAAATTACATGTAAATTTCCCAAATCTTCAAAATAAAAATTTTGAGCAAATATTCTTACTAGCAAAATACTGGGTCAGTAGTAATACCCAAAAGTAGTCAATATGGTAGTATCCAAAAGTAGTTAATGTAGTAGTACCCAAAAGTAATCAATATAATAATGCCTAAAAATAATCAATGTAGTAGTACCCTAAAGTATCCTAGTGTAGAAATCATATGAGAAAGAATTCTAAGAAGGCTCAGGCGAAAACTAGGGTATAAATTTGGTAGTATCTAAAGATAAAATTATATAAAAATAAATAAGAAATTATGCTTTTAGATACTACCGCTGATAGGCAGGAAAGAGATCGGAAAGGCAGAAAGATTCAGAAGAATATATGAAAAAAGGTATGAAAGTAATATAGCCTGAACTAATTCAGCATTTTGTGTCTTATCCTCGGTAATCAAAAGGATCACAAAAGGCAGAATTGTAAGAATAGCACAACATCAACACTTCGTGCCTCACTGGTAATCAAAGTGAGTGAATGGATTGCGATACATTTTTAACAAATAGATGGATTGCAAATTCGGCACTTTGTGTCTCATTCAGTAATTAAATGGGCATCTCTAAACCTTCAACTAACCACTACCTTGAATGTGACAGAAAGGTAACGGGGAAGAGCCCGCAACTTAAGGTGCAGTAAGGCACAGAAAATTAGCGATCATTCTGACCAGCACATAAATTTGACCAATACTATTTTATAATTTCAATCAGATCTTTGGATGCAATAATTCGGCATCCAAACCAGCATAAAACTGATCTGAAACTGAGAAATTAATAGAACTACACTAGCTCCCTGCCAGTTCCATGATAGCTCTAGAATACTATCAGATCACTACCAGGTCGTTATCATAACGCTAATTTCTAAAGATCAGTCAAAAATTATGTTATAGTGCTGACCAAAATCTGATCTGCAAATTAACTGCGCCACCTGACACAATATTTTTTTACCATATTTTGACATCTAGAAAAGCAACTAAATAGACGCGAATTCTTAATATAGAACTAGTATCCAAACTAGCATAGAGGACTGGCACCCTCATTATAGAACCAGGTATTCAAAAAAGACTGGAAAGCCAGAATCAACAATATAGATTTTATTATGTAAACAGATTAGGAACAAGAAGAAAGCAGTTACTATTAGATCATGACATCACCATTAAATTAAAGCACTACCAGTCACCATTAGACTATAAAGTTACTATCATATTATACATGAAACAGTCAAAACAATGCTATAAACGTAAAGGAGTTACATATAAGTATATTATAAAATCACTATCAGATTACAGATAGTAGGTTATGAAGTTACTATCAGATCATGTAATTAAATTATGATATCACTGTTATATTATGAAGTTACTGATATATTATGAAGTAACCAACAGATTATGAAGTTACCAACAGATTATGAAGTTACTATTATATTATGATGTTACTGGTAGACTATGAAGTTATCTTCATAACCTAATCTAAGTTGCATATGGCTTCATAACATAATTATGTTATGAAGTTACATGCGACTAGATCTTCAATGCATATTTTTACTAACGAACATAAAATTTTAGCATAAAGTGCCTTGCATATTTTCTTCTATCTCTTCTCTAACATGGATATGAGTTTAGAGAGGTGAAAATGGTAGCATTTAAAAGGGTTATATAGGTAATTTTTAGCTTTTTGTCATTTATTTTACTATTAGCGTTATTTCAGTATATTAGTATTATTTTATATTCTAAACTAACTACATAAATATGTCTACCGTAATGTATAATAAGATTTACGAATTCTTAATGATTGCTAAAAAACATCAAATAAACGTTACATCTGTTATTTATCTTAGAATGAAAGAAAACTACTAGGTTTCCTAAATAGAGTTAAAATTAATTGTAGAACGAACCATGAGATTTGTTAGCAATGCATTTATAAAAGATTCTTTTCGTCAATTAAAATTTTTTAAATTCTACCATAGGTTAGTTAAGATTTATACAAACATTTTAGCTTTTATTATTATATGATAATACTGTGTGATCATTTACTAAAGTAAACCTAAATAAATAAGTTATTTTTTGATTTGTTACTTATGTTTGACCTACCCATTCAATTTGCTTATCAGTAAATACTTACACGTAATAGAAGATGTATATGCTATAATCTGTTATGCAGTTTTGTAATTCACCTTACCAACTTATAATGTGAAAAGGTTATTGCCATGTCGAGGGGTGTGTTAAGATATGAGTTATTATGTTGCTTTATTAGTATTATATGATGTTTCATTTGTATGATAGTCACATAAAGATGATAACTTTGTATATGCACTGATGATTGTGTTATTTTTATAATGAGAATTTCTTTTTATTTCTGAAATCTAATACAATACTTTTTTTAGTTTGATATTAGCTTTAAAGGTATTTGTACCTTATACAACATGAAGTAATTAAAACGGATAAGAAAATTCCTTTTGGCTCAGATCAAATTGATGATAA